TGTCCTCGTCCTAATATTATAGGCAGAGCCGTTATGGCCCTCCTGTTAGGCTTACTTTGATCCACGTTCCATTATTTTCTTTCTTACCTTTTATCTCTTTTTCTGCCCTCATGATGTATGGTATTGCTGTCCCTAGAATGAAAGGAGGCAGAGGCATTAGGGGCAGAGTTATGACTGACTCTGCCTCTTGTGAATTCCCCCAAATTAAATGGCCACTGTTGGTGGTCAAGGACATAAACCAGTGTAAAAGAAGGAGATCTCTGCATTATTCAGAGGTAGGCAAAAAGATCAGGTACAGCATGGCTAGTGGTCCTGTTACTACTAATACAGCTGTCAGAGTGTCATCTTTGGCAGGCAAACTCCACAAGGAAAGCTTCATGGCTCTACCAGACCCTGAGGTCTCTATTACTATTGAGGGTAATGAAAGAGGGGGATGATTTTGAAAGCTGCACCAGTTGCCAGAGAGAGGTAAGCTATAATGCTCTAACACACAAGGCAAAGAAGGAAGCAGAGACACCTATATACCTTCCAATGTTCCTGCTGATGTCCCCTTATTATTTTATCAGGAACAGGGAGCAACTCAAGTCCTGCCTATGCAATCTACACTTACTCTACAAAACAACTGAGCATAGAGGAGGAGGTATATATATAGCAGTTCTAACAGTCTGAGGATGTGTCTGAAGAAGCATTACCAGTCTGCTCTGCTAATAGCAAAATGTTGGGCAACAAGGGCATTCTAATACAGCAGGGAGAATTCAAGCAGCTTTCATAGCCACCCACTTTTCTCTCCTCCAAATACTGAAAGAACAATCACACCCCATTCCAGTGAGAAGAAAAAAATGAGGAGAAATTTAGGAAACCAATGTGGATGCATAGGGGATTTTCAGCTGAGTTAAAAGGGGCATGTATAGGAAATGGAAGATGAGTGTAATCTCCAATCTTGCATCTACCAGCAAGAAGCTAATATCTACAAAAATAAAGTCAGGGAGGCTAAAGTGCAAAACTAACTGCAGGGGAAGCTAACAGCAACAAAAAAGGCGCTCTTCCCTCTCTCTGGTTTGTTAGTAGTAAGGGGGAAAAAAATTAAGGGGTGGGTGAGGAAATTAAAAAATGAAGGGGTGGATCTATTGCTAGGAGGTAAGAGGGTAGGAAGGTATGAGGTCATGGGGAGAGCATAGTGCTCCACTCCTACTTTGCATCAGTCTGTTCCCCAAAGGGGAACTGTATTCAGATGGACTTACGCTGAACACTTGTTACAATAGACTCAGAGATTCCATGTGCAGTAACTGATCCTCAAATGCAATAGGTACTGATTTGCAATCCCTATCCTCCGGCCATTCAAAGTGGTCTGACTAAAATTTGAACCAAACAACCTGCCCTCAAGTGCAATGCTCCATAGCCTGGTCTAGATTAACAGAAACCTACAGGGCTTACTGTACTAGAAGCTCTAGCTATTTTTGCTTTATTGTCTTCAAGAGGAAAAAAAATTGTCTAAAGCCTTTCTAAAAAGAAAAAGCTAGAAGCCCAGACCGCTAATGGGTAAAACTCAGTATTTTGGCAGTTTCTCTCACGTATCCTTACCCCCTGGATCATCAAGATATAACTACCCGAGCCATGGGCTGGTCAGTTATAAGCTCATTTTAGTGACAACACTAATTGCATGCCCTGAAGACATGTGAAGTTGAGCTCTGATGACTTTATCTGAGATCACCAAATTTATCTCATAGCTGAAAAATGGCAAACTCACTGGGAAAGATCTAAATTTAGCAGAACTATTACAGTCCAACATCAATTGGTAGATCCCAATTTTGGCTACACTATTTACATACATGGACAGGACATTTCAAATATCAGTTGTATGGTGTAAATCTATATCATAATCCTGATATTTAAAAAAAGTGACCAAAAAATCAATCGAGCCTTTGCCCAGTTAGCCTGCTGAGCATCGTAAACAAGGTCTATGCTAAGAATCTCCATCTAAAACTGGTGGACTGGTTGATACATAGTATTATCATAGCATTGGAGCAAGCTGGCTTTCTTTAGGGAAATGAGATCAAGCCTAGACCATTGTTTAGCCTCCCAGAGCCTAACCAAAAAGTATACTTCCTATTCCCTATATTTGGCTCAATGACCAGAAACAATTATAGGGGAAATTGTTTGCTTCTTCAATCAACCGACTACAGTACTTGCCCTTGTCAATGCTCTGTTAGCACAACGCCGTGTAGATTTTCCGCTCTTACTGCCCATGTATCCATTCAGAAAGGGGTGAAACAGATCTGTAAGTGATCCCCACCCTTTTAATGTTCTACACACACTCAGAGTGCAAGCTCTATCAAGACCCACACACCCTTGCTAGCCAGTAGACTCAGTCTTGAACCTCCTATACACAGATGACATGACCATTCTTTCTACATTCCTAGTACTTATTGGAAGAATCTTCAGGGCCTTGAAAGCTGAACTGTAGAAATAATGACAATTGCATCCTGACAGCAATTTAAGATAGACAACACAAAAGTTACAAGTTACCTAACTTATGGATCCCAGATCTGTAAGTACTCGTCTGAGACCTCTCTTGAAACAATTCAATCTAAATTCTTAAGGACTTTATTTGGTGTCCCTCTATGTGTTTCCAATCCTATACCAAGGTGAGAAACACAGCTGGTTTCCACAGAGGTCTCTAAATGGCTCATTTGCTTCAATTATTCACTTAAATTTATTCACTTTAAGAGTCCTTTGGCTTTTCTGTTTCTAACAATTTCATATCCATGTGGTCCAAAAGTCTTGTGATTTACTCTTACAATACTGTACCTGAGTACATTAGTCTTTTACAAAGTCTGATCAGAGAT